GCTCTTGCTCAGGCTGGTCTTGAACTCCTGAGCTCAAACAGTCCACCCACTTCGGCCTCCCAGAGTGCTAGGATTACAGGCGTGAGCCACCGCGCCCGGCCCCAAGAATAGGCTTCTTAAACATATTTAGATGACCTTCAGTTTTAATTGATTTTACTTGTGCTAAACTGCTATTTTAATCTTCATTGTATTTTTTTCTTGAGACGGGCTTTCACTATGTTGCCCAGGCTGATCTCAAACTCCTGGGCTTAAGTGAACCTCTGGCCTCAGCCTGGAGTAGCTGTGATTACAGGCATAAGCAATGTATTTTTAAACTGCTTCCACTTTCTCAGGTTACATATTTAAATCTCAGGAAAACTTAAAGGATAAACAAGTAGATGGTATATATAGTACCTTTAAGTTTCCTAAAACTAGAAACTTTTGTTCCACCAGGGGGAGCTGACAATAAAGGATTTGGAAATGCTGGATTGTTACTGTATATGTCACAGTAGTTAACGATGGGTATAAATTCCAGTGTGTATTTCAAATTTATAAGCTAGTTATCCCAGCCAAGCCAGGAAATACATATGCTTTAAAAGATGTATGAAAGCTTCAACAGAAGGTACTTTAGAATTCTTATTCCAACTGTTGATAAATTAGATTATAAAGCTACTTAGTAGTTTTTATTGCTTAAAAGTATTCAGGCAAAATAAGTTTATATTGAACTACAATCTGTAAAAAATAATGGCAAAATGAAATCACATTTTTTTCTTGATGTCCATATGTTTAATTCATACCCTTTTTTAATGTGGGAATTGCTTTTTCAAAAAAGTTCTTCTAAGCTTTAAAAGATAGAGATTCTTTAGTATTTTGAGACTGCTTTTTGATGATCAACTCTACCATTGGCCCCCTTTTTTTTTTAAATGAAATCACATTCGGCCATTTTAGTTACCCAGGTACCTTCATCTGAAATAGTGAGATTTCCCTTTATTGAAGCATCGTACATGTTTTGGTTTTTAGTAGAAACTATGAATGATTTGGTAATCAACTTTAATTCTAACACGTGTTCTTCTCTCCCCTACTTTTTTTGTTTTTTTTTAAGGGCTTGGGCAATTTTTCAGTAGACAGTTTTAAGAGCAGTACAGCCAAAAATGGTGGCTTTCTTCTGTAAGTATACAACTGGGTGTGCTAAATTGAACAGCAAAATAGGCTCTTGTGCTGTTTTACTTAGGTTTCTCCTTTTTCCTATACACAGCAGTACCAATATGAAGTGGGTACAGTTTTCAAATCTACATGTTGATACTCCTAAGGATTTGACCAAACCTACGGTATGTACTTCCTATTTCTTGGTATAAGGAGCTATATTAGCAATAAGTTTTCCTTACTGTTTCATCTGGGGTTGTTAACCAAACACTGTATGAATAAAAATTTTGTTCTGCAATACTGGCATATGCACAATATGTATATTTTCTAATGTCCTTTGGTGCTCATGTTATCTTTAAGTATATCAAGGTAAGTTCTAAGAGAATAAATTATTTATTCCAAATGACTGGCAATTAGCATTCTCTTGCTTTTAGCTCAGCATAATTGAAGAGTTGTTATAATTAATGATGTTATGTTATGGAAAAATATTTTTCTTGTAGCCTTCAAGTCTTTGTTTTCATTTTAAATATTGAGCCTGGGCCTAGACAAAGCTTTATTGTTCACAGTGAGAAAGAGCATTACTACAAGTAATGGAAAGTACTTATGTAACCTTAGAGAAGCCTTGATTTCATCAACCCAGCTTTTTGTGTTTTTGTAATTTTTAAAAATCCTTACAAATCCCAATCCTTCCATTTCTAACCCTCAAAAATAGCCTCCCCCTTTTTTTTAATTATTATGATTTTTAAAAGACGAGGTCTCGCTCTTGCTCAGACTGGTCTTGAACTCCTGAGCGCAAACAATCCATCCGCCTTGGCCTCCCAGAGTGCTAGGATTACAGGCATGAGCCACCACGCCCGGCAAAAATAGCCCCTTTTAACAGTTTGGTATGAATCCTTCTAGACATTTGTCTGTAAGTACTCATTTTGTCTATGCACGTGTACACCAAAATGGAATTATATTAATACATGATATACTGCTATTTCTTTGTCCCCCGCCCCCCAAATAGATACTGGATGTATTTTTGTGACATTACATATATACTCCAGTTACCCCAGTCTCCAGCTCAGATGCTGCAAGGGTCAGTCCTATAAGGACAGGTTACAGGATGGGCACAGTGGCATCTGTGAGACAGCTACTATTTATTCTAGCTACTTATTGCCATGTGGGACATCAGACTGATTGATGTTAGGTCATCTAAATCTCCAGGCTAAACTGAAATCCAAATGTTTATGTGAAATCTCTTGATTTTTAATATTTGTAACAAATTCAGAATATTTTTAAAACCCTGTAAGAACCAATCAGAACACATTTTAAGGCTGTATTCCCCCCCTGCTCATCCCTCAACTTATGCTATAGGATATTCTGTTCTTTCAGCAACTCTATTTGGAGTAATTGAGAGTGGATATCTAGCTTCCTAGCCGCCTTTCAGGGGTGAAGTAATTTAACCCTGAATCATTGGATTAGTAATATAATTTACCAGTTTAATGGATGAATAAAATGAAGGTAATTTACCTCTTGGAAGAAAGTCAGGAATGTCAAAGCCATTATTTCTGAGGTCTTTAGGTACTAGGGTGGAAGAGATGGAAGTGATTGGTATAGTCAGTGTCATAACATTTTAATTAGAAATGAGTAATTTGTATATTAGGGCAGGCAAAACACATGAATAAAACCTCATCAAGAATATGAATAGCAATAGCTCGCCTTTGTATAATGATGTTTTATCCTTTATAAGCACTTTAATCTGTGTTTTCTTATTGTTTTCCTTGGAGAAATGCTGTGAGCTATAGCACAGGTATTACCCAATTTTATATATGAGGAAACTAAAGTGCAGATACTTATGTAAAACACTTATTATAGAGTATGTGACTTGCCCATTGTCCTTCAGCTACAAGTAGCAGAGTTTACTTCTTAATCCAGTTCTTCTGACCAGGGTACTTTTGTTAGCAGACCCGGAAATCCTTTATCATTGTGAATTTAGAGCTCAGTAATTCTTAAGTGATTTTGTAGGTTACCTTGAAAATTCTTTTGATTCACACTGTATTTTAACAGATTCTGAGGCTCGTTGTGCAGATTTGAGCATGATAGTATCTAATATTTAACAGAGTTAAGATTTTACTCAGCATTTTTCTCCCCATTTATTAGTAAACTCTGTAGTTGTTCAGTTGTGGGTAACACGTTAAATTTGCTAGTTGTAAGTATTAGAGGAACCACAACTGAAACTTTTCTTTTGATTTTAGATAACCATTTCTGATGAACCAGACACATTATATAAGCGCCTGTCAGTTTTAGTAAAAGGCCATGATAAGGCTGTATTGGACAGTTATGAATATTTTGCCGTGCTTGCTGCTAAAGAACTTGGTATCTCTGTTAAAGTGTGAGTATGACCTCTCCTAATCTGACCTATTAAGTACTGTAATATGATCAACCAGGAAAATGGTGCCAGGAAGTTCTGAGGTCTTAAAATGGGGTGGAAACACATGATGGATGAATTTTAGGGTTGTCATATATTATCCTAAGCAGGATCATCCCTTCCTTTCTTCTAGAATTTTTAAATACTAGAATGAGTGAACAAGGAAAATGAAAGAAATCCTTTCTCTAGAAATTGTGTTGACATGAGGAGATCCAAGAAGCCCATGTGTCTGGGATCTCCAGGGGGCAGGGAGGTAGAATAGGTGAGGAAACAATCCTCTTAGACCCTTTGGATATGATGATCTTGGGCTAATACAGCCATTGTTTCAGATCTGCCCTAAGAAACACCACTCACCTGGTAATTTCATGCATGAGCAAGGTGAGCTTCCTACAGCCTTGGAGTCACTGCAGGGTCAAGGAGAACTGTCTCCTTGTCATTTGCTCCTTCTGATATTGAACAAGGCCCATTTGCCAGTCTGGCCTTTTAACAAAAACAGATGGCCACACTGTTTCCCAAAACAGGCTATAGTTTTCTGATTATCGCTATATTTGTAGTTTCCTATAACAACGCACATACAGCAGACATTGCAACTATGTCCACCACACTGGTGCTGCTCTACACAATTCGTATGTTTGGTCAGTAGGGGTCTCAGAGGGTATAAAAACAGGCACGTGTTTGTGCACTGGTCCTTGCATGCCAAGGCTCATTTTTGGGTCTGTGGGAAAAGGTTCCTGTTGCTATCTGTGGTGTTTATTTTGGCCTGAGCTTTATGATAGCAGTTGTTGTTACAGATGATGGTCTTGACAAATGGAGGCCTATAAATGGTAGTTAACGCCTATAATTGAGTGTGAGCCTGACCTACAATATTGTGGAATCATGCTTTGATATCGGTGACTCAGGTTTTGACATCAGTATGTTATTTTGCCCATTAATTTCAGACATGAACCTCCAAGAAAAATAGAGCGATTTACTCTTCTCAAATCAGTGCACATTTTCAAGAAGCACAGAGTTCAGTATGAAATGAGAACACTTTACAGATGTTTAGAGGTGAGTGTATTTCAGCATTCAGGCATTTTCGAAATGCCCAGAATTTCACACTAGCATATCCTAACTTTCCTTTAACATTAACTGAGTTGACTTCCTTTCAGCCAGCCCATGCCTGTTAATTGTAGAGAAGGTAAATGTCTTTTCATGTTAACAGAAATGGCATGATAGGAAAATCAAACTCAAAGCCATCCTTTAGATTAGTGCATACTTTAACTCTAGAATGCAGATTGTGCTGACTCATTTTTATACAGTGAGATGGCATTGGCATAAATTTGCCCATATTTCAAAAATTTTAGTTAAGTTTTTACACAGTTCTAATAATTCTTTTCACATGCTAACTGCACTTCCCATGTCAGTGATATGCAGCATTAGGTTTTTCATTCATTTGTGCATCCGCTACGGCCTGTATAGTCTTGTGGTTAAGGAAAGCCTGGGTTCTAGAGTTAGACTGCCAACGCCACTTACTAGCTATGTGACCTGTACCTAAATTCCTTCAGCTATAAAATGGGAATAATAATGGTTAATTATAGCCATCTCATAAGGTTAGTATGAGGATTAAATGGGATATTTATGTAAAGCACTTAGAATATTCCCATTGCATAGTAAGTGACTGATAAATGTTATCAAAACAAGCACTTACACGTCTTTTGTATGGAAAGCACTGTACTAGTCATTGAGGGTACAAATATAAAGTCATAGTCCCTACTCTTGAATAAAAAAGAAAAACCCAAAATTTTATCCACCCATGTCTGACAGAAACATCTCGCAGTGGAGCACACAGAAAATCTTATACTAACCATATCTTATAATCTAGTCCTTTTGTCTTGAGTTGTTTTGTGAAACTCTTGTAAGTATACTGTTCTGATACCATGCTTGCCAGCTGTGTTCTGTGGAGCCCTGGCTTTAAAATATCTGCATTTGGGAGGAAGGAGGCTTTGGGGCCATGCTTGCCCCTGTTCAGTTCAACCAAGGGATCTATAATTTTTTTTTAATTGTGATTCTATATGAGATTGTTTAGGGAAAGAACAGGCTCTACCACTTTTACAAAAAGAAAAAAAAAAAAACAACAACAACAAAAACACCCCAATGTAAAATTTTCAGCTTTGACAGCATAGCGTAAACCATTTTCATGTTTGAGATTTCAGTTAGAACATCTAACTGGAAGTACAGCAGATGTCTACTTGGAATATATTCAGCGAAACTTACCTGAAGGGGTTGCCATGGAAGTAACTAAGGTATGACTTAAATTTTTACCTCTTTTCAGGGAGATCTGTATTGTTGTTTTGATACATTGCAGCCTGGTCCAGGCCCACTGAGTAGAGGGGAGGACCTGTGGCAAACTGGGAGACAGAGTTGCCACAGGGTTGGGGGCTTCCCCTCAAGTTTCCTTCTCTCCATTTCAAAGCCCTACAAAAAGGCAAAGGGGTGGGGAGAAAGAAAAGAGGATTTGACAGATTAATAAATCAAATTTGGGGCCTAAGAGTGCTTTTAAGTTCACATTATATTATCGTTTTGTTTTGTTTCTTTTTTTAGACACAACTAGAACAGTTACCAGAACACATCAAGGAGCCAATCTGGGAAACAGTACCCAACGAAAAAGAAGAAATCAAGTCACAAAGCCTCAGGGAGGCTACTAGTGCCTGAATTGGAAATGGGGATGGGCCAGATGTGTGTGTTTAAGTGGAGAGTGCTTCCAGCTGAGATGGTTTTGAGTCTACCTAATTGTTGTGTTGAGGCCTCATGCCTGGTCAGCTGAGAGCAGGGAATGGAGCCTTAATGACAGGCTGGACTATAATGAAAGAAACACTTTGTCCTTTTATACATGTCATTATTTCAGTTCTGATTTTTAGAAGCATGAACAAACCATAAGCCCACTATGAGCCAAAAGAGTCAAATTTATATTTTGTTAGGCTGCTGCTGTTCAATTACTAGTTTGTACCGGTTTTAATTTATATCACTTCTTTCATCTGAAAGTGTTTAAAGTATTCTTCACACGTATTTTTTTCTTTTGAGATGCCTAGAAGGAACTTGTGGTTAATTTAGCACTGAGCAGTTAAAGTTTTTGATATTTCCCTTAGCACAGGCTGGCATGTGCTAATTTGGAGGTGGTAGCTAACAGACGTGACTTCATTTAAGTATTACATCTTGGAAAGGGAATATACTTTGCAGCAGACCAAGCACATGTGTGACATGCACTGAACTCTTCTTGTAGCCCACACCCTTAGAGAGATGCCTTAGGATCACTGTAATGGAATTTATGCTCTCAAGAAATTATTACTTGTGTAATTTTATTCATCCTGTGATTCATTCAATCAATAAGCTTTTATTCCATAAACTTTGCACCCCACACTGTAGTTAATACCAAAAACTAAATAGAAGTAATGGTTTTTGAAAATTGTGTGAAGCACAGAAAAATATTTTTCTTTATTAAACTCCTCAGTGATAAGAAAGCCTCTTTCTTTTGGTAAATGTCACACTTTTTGTTTGGAGATGTCTACTTTTCCATGAAATCAAATAGCAGTGAAAGCCCTGAAAGAGGCCAGCCTACAATGGGCTGAAACAGTTGGTATGGCAAACCCAGGGGAGTGCTTCGTTTCCTTTTTACAGCAGAATCGGGTTCGTGTCTTTGTGGTTTTCTTTACATCTTTGGAGTAGTTATGACTTCTCAGTTTTTCCCCCTTTAAACCGAATTGCCTGTTCTCTTTTCCAAGCCTAGTATCAGGTATCGGTGTGTTGAATACATACTGCTTATGTATCAGACTTACATTACTGTCATTAACATGAAAAGAATTACTGCCTTGTGCCCCACGACCTCCTTCAGCTCAGCTGTTGGCTGTGTCATTCACAAATGCCTACAGTGTACTTACACCAGGGACAAGCCTCAGGATTAACTAGTCAATAAAACAAGAGCAATATAATATAATGGTAACTATATTTAGCAAAGCAGCAGTTTGTGACACATTTTTATCTTTAAAGAAATAATCCTTTAAATATAGACCCACACTTAATGCTCTTCTGAGCTTTTTTACAGATAATATAAATCACCGTATTATAATAGGATGATATGTGTGTGCTCACCTCAACGTGTCTTCCATGTGAGCCCCTACAAAGGTGTGTGCCTCCACTTCCGGCAATTTTCAGATTAAATTAACCTGCAAACAAGATTACTTAGCTTATCTCTTCAAATTATATATTAAAATCTTGTATTAAGATAAATGTGAAAATCAACTACACCTGTGTCCATGCGAGCACAAAACTAACAGTTATTTCTTCGACAAAAGTATTTGGCATGTTTGAAGCCTACTTCTTGATATAAACAAGCTGATTTCTTATCCTAATAGGCTGAGAAGGGTTTTAGTTTCGTTTGTTTTAAATTAGGTCTCAGTAAAATGCATACCCTGAAAATTAGAACTAATGCCCAAGTCTCCCTTTCCGTCCATGGTAGGGAGGGGAAGTGGTGAGAGAAAACTGGATCTTATGTGGGAAGAGTCAAAGGTGGGAAGTGAGATGAATTTTTATTGAGGTGTAGCCCTGCGTTCATGTTGCTTTCTCTGATCTGAAGCGTATTTTTTTTTGTATTAAATAAAATCATGTTCTGGTCTGTTTAAAATTAATTAGTATAACTTGGTAAGACAGAGTAGACTAGTTCAGTGTCAAGTTTCAGTGCTTTCAAAGAGAATGACTATCCCCCCATTTAAACATGCCACCGTGTATATATAAAGCAATTATTTTAAACCGCTAGTCTAGTTTGCTAACATTTCTGCTTGTCTGCAACCATTCTTGTCCTACGTTATATTATTAAGTTAGTTTTACTACAACATTAATGAGTAACAATAGAGAAAGCATGGACTTTGGAGTAAGACAGAGGAGTCAGATAAGAGTTCAAACTCACTAACGGCTGTAAACTTGGGCAAGATATTTAACCCTGTCAGAGCCTCGGTTTACTTACTAGTAAAATGTAGGAAATAATACCTACCTACCTATATAGTATTTAATACTCCAACTTACTGAGGTTAGGATATTTTACTAGATTAATAAAGTACCTCAAACAGTACTGGGCAGATAATAGACATTCAGTAAATGGCAGAACCAATTTGATGATACTTTAAATGCTGTGTGCTACACTTCTAAAAAACCAGCTGGAAAGGACCTTAAATTATCTCCAAGGTGAGATAATACTTCCTTTAGAGCAGCAGTCCCCAAACTTTTTGGCACCAGGGACTATTTTCATGGAAGACAATTTTTCCATGAACCAGGGTGGGGGTGGGGTGGTTTTGGGATATTTCAAGTGCATTACATTTATTGTGCACTTTATTTCTAATGTATTAGAAATACTACATTGTAATATATAATGAAATAATTATACAACTCACCATAGGCTGGGGACCCCTACTAGACTATGCTTATAATGGCCACCATACATTATGCCAGCCTTTTCAAATGGTCATTTTCGGATACTAATCCTTCATTTAATTCTTATTAACAACCCACTAAAGTAGTTACTATTATCCCCATTTTACAGGAGAGAAACCCAAGGCTTAGAAAGTTATTTGCCCACTTAGTCACCCTTTCAGTTAACAGATGAAGCTGAGACCGAAAAACATGAAATTAATTTGTCTGAGTTCAAGTCAGTGACAAGGGCAGCCCTAGAACCTAATTTTTAAAGGGGCTATGAGGTACCCAGGTGTTCACATATTTTTTTTTTAACTACATTTTAAAGCATTTTTTTTTTTTTACTACTTTTTAAAGCATGAAAATGTCCACATATTAAATGCAAAATATTCAAACTTCAGGTCCAGGTTTGCTTCCCCTTTACATTACCATAATGTACTAACCTCCTCTAAAGCCTCTAAGTGAAGAGATTGGGGTGGGGGGAATCTAAGGAATAAAAGATGTAAATAAAGGCAAGAAGCAGACTGCACAGTGCAGTTCCGGTGGTCCCACCACTGACACTGGTCCTTAGTGTCAGAGGGGGCAACACAAGAGTTCAGGCTTCAGCAAAGTGGGTCCTTCTGAGTCACAGGAACGCCAGCATGGAGACGATTTATAGTAGGGCTTTGGGCCAGGCCTGTGCAGGGCCCAGAGGACGTTGGTTGGTTGTTTTTAAGCATTTCTTTCTTCCTGGAGGCAGGCTTACAGCTGCCTGCCTGCAACCCCCAGCGTTCTCTTTCCAAATCCCCTGCTCAATTCCTAAACCTGCCTCCTCAAATCCTTACTACTGTTACTCACTTCATGCTATCATTTCTCTTTGCGGATTCTTAATCCTCTTTAAAATGATATATTTATACCTTAATAGCTCAGCAGTATTTATAGGGCAGGTCATGGGCAACTGACCCACATGAAAAGCCAATTGAATCTTAGATTCTTCAGCCAGAGGCTAAATCAAGTTATATTTCATTCATACAATTTTTTAACTTGAGCGCAGGTTCTGTCCTTCAATACTCCTCAGTGTTGCTTAGATACCAGTACCTGTTAAGCAGCGGACAGGAATAAAGCCGCCTGCACAAGGAGCCAGGGGAGATGCTGCTGTTGGAGAGCCACACTGCTGGTGGCACGTGTTAGCTTCATGTGTGTTGAGATGGGGACAAGGTTGAAGTCAATGCACTAGATCTTCAAGGCCTCTTCCAGTTCTAAAATCCCATTATCTTTTTTTACTTCAACTAATATCTGCTGAATCTGGGCACTCTTGACAGAGTCGAAGAGTTGTTGTCTTGTAAAATGGAGGAGTAACGTCTCACAAAAATTCAGCACTGACTGTATGCCAAGCACCTTGCTCAGTTACTCACCAAGTATTTTGAGTTTCTGGTATGTGCCAAGCACTGTTGTAAACACTGGGGATTCTGTAGTGTACAGAATACACTACAGTGAAGTCCCTCTCCTCAAAGATCGTAGACTCCAGTGAGGAAGACAGATAATAAATAGAGGGGGAAAAAATAAGATAGTTTCAGATGCAGGTAAGCACTGTGAAGACAACAAAATAGGTTAATGTCAGAATGGCTTGAGTGGCTGCCTGAGGGGAGGTTGGGAAAGTTCTCTCTGAGGAGGGGAGACATTGAGGAGGCAGCCACGTGGCTATCTGAAGGAAGAGCAGGCCAAGCAGGAGGAACAATAAATGCGAAGAGCCCAGTTCTAGGATGACTTTGGTGTGTGTGCAGAGGAGAGTAGAGGGACATGAAGACAGAAATAGGCAGGAGCTGGATCATGTAACGCATCTTGGGCACGGATTCTCAGTGCAAATGGGGAGCTCTAGGAGGGTTTTGAGCAGCAGAATGGCAGCATCTGATGTATGCTTTAGAACATGCTACTCTGGCTGCTGGGTAAAAGAGGAGAGTGGTAAGAGCGGGCAGGGTTCAGGTGGGAGGATCACCATCCTGGGCAACATAGAGCTTGTTTCAAACAAAAAACAAAAAAGAGCGGGAAGACCAGTTAGGGATCTGCCGCAGTGAACCAGGTGAGATAACGCTGGCCCGGAGGAGAGTTGCAGGAATGGAGGTGGTGAGAAGTGGTTAGATTTAGAATACAGATTGGAGGCAGAGCTGAGAACAGATTGAAATGAGATCTGAGGGAAAGAGGATTCAAGGATGGTTCCTAGTTTTGGCCTAAGCAACTAGATAAATGGTCATTACTGAGATGGGGAAGAGCTGAGGAGGGACTTGGGGAGGAAATCAGTAATTTGGTTTGGGCCTTGCTAAGTTTACAACCTGAGTATAGATGTCCAGTAGGCAATTGGCTCGTGCCTCTGGAGTTCTGTGGAGAGATCCAGGCTGGAGATATAAATCTGGAAGCTATCAGCCTATAAATGCTATGAGCATGAATGACACCATCTAGGGAGAGAGCGCAGGTGGACAAGAGTGCCGAGGACAAGCCTGGGAAGCCCCGAGCATTTAGAGAATGGTGAGAAGGAAGAGGTGCTAGCACAGGAAATGAGTGATCAGTGAGGCTGGAGTGAAATCAGAGGAGCTGGGGCCTGGAAACCAGGAGAAATAATTCAGTTTGGGGAACTGTGATGAGTCTGTGGCAGGGTGAGTAAGAAAAGTAGCTCATTGATGACCACTACCAAAGCCTTTTCTGTAGAATGATGGGGATGAACGTCCAATTGGAATAAGTTGAGGAGAAAATAAGAGATGAAGAGAATGCAAAATGGGTTTGAGAATATTCCAGTTATCTAACGCAACGTCAGAAAACACTTAGTAGCTTAAAACAGTGACAGCATTACTTTGCATACAAATATGCCATTTTGCTCCGTTTGCTATCAGCTGGGGCGGCTCGAAGTGTGCAACAAGGTCTGTGCCTAGGACCCGATATTTTTAATTTTCTTAAAAATCAGAATAAAAAATGAACATAATCCACCCTAGGCTAATCCAGCTAGGGCTGGAGTCACCTGAAGGCTTGCTCGCTCACTCACCCACTCTCCCGCGTGTCTGGTGGCTGAGGCTGGCTGTCAGCTGAGACCTTAACTGGGGCCGTCAGCCAGAACCCTGACGTGTTCTGGGCTTCCTCGCAACACGTGGCTGGCTTCCCGGGGCGAGTCCTGAGAAAGAGAGCCAGGCAGAACCCTATCACTTTTGATGGCCTAGCCCTGGAAGTCACATTGTGTCACTTTGGTGTGTTCTCTTCAACAAGGTGGCCACAAAGTCTTATTCAGGTTGAAGAGAAGAGTAAATAGATTCCTCCCCTTGATAGGAGGAACATGTGAGGCCAGAACTATTGTGCTGTTTTGGATAATACATCTGCCACAAGGGGTTTTGTTGGAAGAGGAACAAAAATTGGGACAGTCGCTCGAGGGGTCTGTGGGCAGGGCCAACTTATCCAGT